TAGTCATAGATTAATTCAATTTAATGGATACATGATAACTAGAATAATAGTTATATATAAATGATGATGAAAAGTGAAGATGATGGTTGAGGATATACTGATTATAATGCTTTGAGGTGATTGTTGCTGTGTACAATTGTTTGTGTGTGTTTCTTTCTGTGTTTTTTTTTCTCCCTCTTTCAACATTTCTTTAAATATTCTGCTAAAACTTTGTGAAGTAGTACTGCCTGGACCTTGAAGAAGGGGACATACCCCAAAGTAATGTTTTGAATGATCATAAAAATAAAAAATGGAAAAAGGAAATGATGATGCAGGGATGCACTGTTCACCCCAACCCATAAGAACCAGACCAAGACACAAAAGATCATAGCTGGGCATAATGCTAAATAAATAATAACCATGGGTCAATAAATGGAGAAACCAATATTTAATATACTGCATCCTAAAAGCCTTTAGATATGGTGGACGTGTTATTTAGTTTTCCAGAAAATACAGAACACCACTGTTGATTTTGCCTAAAGATGCTACTTTCTTGTCTTTTCTTGTGAGCTAAAAAGTGAGCAAAAGTAATCTTATTTTTATTTTCTAACATGAACAAAGTCAGACATGTTTGAAGTCTGGCCAGTGTGACAACCTTGGCTCCTTCCATAGTGCCATAGTGAGTGAGAGTTGTCATCATGGCACAGGAAGTATGTTGTCTGCAGGCAGGGGCGGACTGACCATTTGGAAACTCGGACGCTGCCCGAGGACCTGGGGTTAGAAGGAGGGCCCCATGAGATGCCCCTGGTACCTTTTTCATAGGCTTTTTTGAGTTTGGACAAGGACATCGGGGCCCCATGATCCCCTATTGCCCGGGGGCCCCATGAGTTGTTAGTCCGCCCCTGTCTGCAGGAATACGAGGTGAAAATAAAGGAAAACAAGCCAGAAAAAAGAAATGGGAAGATGCAATATATTGTATTTTTTTGGGGGAAGGGGGCGGGGGGGGGGGTTTATACATTTTAACCCTATAAAGTTACAAGAATATAATGAAACTAATTTACTAAAGATTTTTAGAATGTCCACCAATGAAACTGCGTGAACATTCTAAATTCCTTTTGTAAATCTGCCATAGTTTGTTTTGTCCTTTTAAAAAAAACATGTTGTTGTTGGTGACCATTTGAGGTAGTTCATCCACGTCTCATATTTACACCTGCCTCTTTAATTGGACAATGTACAGCCTATTATATGCTACTGTATGCAAATTCTTACCATTTATCTTTTATGGGGCTGTGACCTTACCTTGGAGGTCTTGTTTTATGTACTCAATAACTTGTATTTATTTTTTTTTTTTTGCATGGAAAACAAAAATGTATTTAGATGACTGATTTATCTAAAATTTGTAGTAAAAAAAAAAAAATTGTTTTAACCTCTTCACGCTGGATGAACGCAAATGTGTGGCCTTCCGGCGTCTGGGCCTTGATGCCGAGCGTCCGCATATTTGCTTTCTATTAAAAAAGAACATATGTGCTGAGAGCGCGCTCCCAGCACACATGTCCGGTACTCACGGAAAGGTCCTGATCTCCTCCTTCAATCGGGACCTTTCCTGATCATGTGACCCCCGTGACGGCATGTCACATGACCCTAAACCCCTCCCCGCCTCCCGCCTTCTGAAACACTTAAAGGGCCGGGAGGAACCGGCACCAAGGGGTTAAACATCCAATCATAATGAAAGTTAGCCGTGGCCATAATGAGAAGTCTTCACCCTCCCTGTTGGATTCTTGTTTGCATATAATGGAAACGTTGACCAAATGGAGACCCTCACCTTGAAAGGAAAACAAACATTATAAATACCCTTTTTTTCTTTTTGTATATGTGATCAATTAATTTCTGTTCACAGCTACATAAGAGACTTAGAGAGGTGTGGTTGGAGAAACAGCAGTACATTGATCTTCTGGCTGTGCAGGGGAAGGCGTGTCAGCAAAAGTTTGAGACAAGCTGTTCTCCCAGCACAGCCAGAAAACTTACCACACTGGGATGGATGAGTTTATGTGCTTAGTGTGGTCAGTTTGAAATAGGAAAGCAGATGGACTGGCAGAATGTTATGATCAGGGGTCAGGCTCAAAGACCAGTTGCTATAGCAGTGTAAGGCTTACCTGAAACCAGCCAGATAGATACACAGGCAGGTCACCCTGTGAAATGACGCAGGCTCACCTGAGGTGCGGGGTCTAAGCACTAACTGGTTTTCACCAGAGCTCCTGATGGTGGAGATGGATTTTGCTGCGTGTTAGTACCAGGTCGCAGATCTCAGGATCACCCCACCAGGGAATGAGCAAGCCAGGAACCAGTAGCAGATATGGCAGGTAGGGATCTGGCAGAAGCGCACAGTAAACAAGCCAAGGGTCGGTAACAAGCGGTAGCAGGCTGGGATGAGGCAGAATCGTAGTCAAGAACAAGCCAAGGGTCAATAAGGAGTGTAGCAAAATACGGGCACCGGCAGATATGATAAGGAGCAAGATACTGGCTGGGAGCACAATAATCTCGCAGACAAAGAAGTGCAGAGACATGGTTTATATCAGGAAGTTCATGGGAGGAGCAAGGGGTTCAAGGTTCATGATAAACAAGGTCAAGGTAGGATCATCCAAATAATTGTCAAGGGAGATGTCCAGCATTCCATGTGGCTCAGCAAGAAGAAACATCGCCCTTTACCGCAGAAGGCCCAGGTTCGGACCCAGGCTCTGACACAGGATCACCAGGTATTTCATGCAAAAGGAAGAAATACAAAGAGAACCAGATACTTTTTACAAGTACATGGTACAACAGGCACATATCAGGAGAAATGTTGGGGTAACATATTTTTTAAATACACAAAGTTGGACAGCAACACTCAAAATTTTCAGTTGAACAGACACATAGCCAGGAATCATGGTGGGAACATCACATGTTGGTAGTAATTAAGATATAGACTGTATAAGAAAAATTAAACTTTAAACGCCATACTATAGCTAAGAGGTCCAGATGCCACTTTATTCCAAAAAAAGTCAGGGAGACAATCCAAAAAGTAGTTAACAGCCAAGAAAACATTGCAAATCCTTTGGGGTGTAGAAGGCACCTGATAAATTACATCAACATCACCACTTTCCGTCTGCCAATAGTACTTTTACTGCGGGTGGCATGTACAGGCAAAGCAACATACTCATACCTCATTTTGCCTGTATAGACACAGGGGGGTGGAGCGGATCCCAGTACTACAGACTTGGTGATCATATGATCACTATGCAATCACATGGTCACAATGTCAACAAAGCTGTTATGAATCAATATGATCCATAACAGCTTTGCTACCTTTATTAGTGAGCTGTGATTGGCCCACAGAATCACATGGCACCTGGACCAATCACAGCACCCTGTACCATGTGATTAGCTGTAGCCAATCAAAGTTCACTAGCAGGGGTGGACTGACAACTCATGGGGCCCCCTGGCAAGAGGGGATCATGGGGCCCCTGTGTCCTCGCCCACACTCAAACCACACCCAAAAAAGCCTATGAAAGGTAACAGGGACATCTCATTGGCCCCCTACTGACCCAGGGCCCTCGGGCAGTGCCTGAGTTCCCCAATGGTCAGTCTGCCCCTGTTCACTAGTATTCACAGCTGCCATGAACCTAAACCATTAATTTCTCCATTTTTCCCGATGCTACTTAAAGGATAAGTTAACCTTTTGGCAAAAAATTTAAAAAGTAAATTTTTTTGCAGGTAAAAAAATGTGCATTCATTATTTTCTGCTGCAGAAGCCTGTAAAACTTTGCACCAGTGATCAGTGGATTGCTGGTGCCATGCAGGTTTCCTGCAGATCTGTCAGTATATGTGTTTGCCCACACGGGATGTTAATTTTTCACACTTTCCAGCCCACTTCCCCAGGAGTATGTGGAGCTGAGTTCTACAAAATGTAATTAAAATTAGATATATCCATAGATGACATACATATTATTAAGTATACACTGTGACAGTGTGGCGATCTGTCACTAAATAAAAAGGATATATCACCTGGGATTCTCAACAAGGCAGGTTGAGGGGCTCCAAGGTACTTGTTTGATGCAGAGGAAAGTGGCTTTTCACTTTCCTCATTTGTTGGTAAAGTCCATTTTGGGACATGGAGATCTCAAAGTGATTTGGGAGGGATCAAATCTCCAATCCTGGGACCAGGTTTTGGGAATGGCCTAGACTGATTGGTCAGGTGTGCATGGCTCTCTTCTAGAGTCAGGACCAGGGTTCTGGGCTCCACCCCAGCAGACAGGAGGTCATTGCTCAGGAGTCAAGAGAGCTCCACCTAGGAGAGGTGGAAGCCAGAGCAGCAAGAGGCTACTAGCTGTGTGCAAAACAGCCATTTAAGAATGAGTCTGTAGGAGACAGCTGTGAGCCTAAAGTGGAAGCCAGAGCGGCAGAAATCTGTATACAAGCCAGGAGGCTGAATATTTGTTTAATCTGTTTTGATGGTGCATACCCCTGCATGAGAAACAGGTTATGGAACTTTCCTTTAAATAAAATTGGGCTAAAAATCCTTAAAAAAAGAAGGAAACAAGTGGCTGTGTGCTGTAAAGGTCTACATTTGATGCTAGTTCCCACAACAGTTATATATATATATATATATATATATATCAGTTAGAGGTGTGTTTCACCAATCAGGCATCCCTGCCCCCTCGAGAGGCCCAAACCAATGGAACTGATGTTTAAATATTCTTCTACCAGTTGTCACTAATCATCGGGGAGTAAGCTTTTCCATACAGAAGCTAAGCCCTTCCAGGGCACTATGTCTCTGTGTGGAGGCCGAGATGATGGTCTCCAAGCAGAGACATAGTGAAGAACAAGGCATGGTAGGTAAGTAATGAGAAAAAACAACTTCAGGGATCCTACCGGTGACTAGACTTCCATAGTTGAGGTCCTCTCTAAATAAGTTACACCATTTGGAAGCAATTTCATTTAATTACTTTACATTAAATATAATTTATTTATTGGTACAGCCGCACCTAAAGATTTCTGTTTTTCAGAGAATTTTTCAATTTGTAAAGTGCAGATTTTATCTCTTTGTTCCTCAGAGTGTATATGATTGGGTTGAAAAATGGAGTCACCAAAACATATAATAAAGATTGTAACTTGTTGATGGTGGAGGAATAAACCATCGTTGGATTGCCATAAACACTGATAATGGTCAAAAAAAATATCAAGACAGCAAGAAGGTGAGAACTGCATGTTGAGAAGGTTTTCTGGCGACCAAGAGCAGAAGGGATTCGGAGGATGGTGAGAAGAATACAAACATATGAGAAGACTATCAAGAAGAAACAGAGCGCCAGCAAGACTGAGGAGACAATAGCCTCAGTTTTAATGGCATATGTGTCTGAACATGAAAGAGCCAATAGAGGAGTAAGGTCACAAAAAAAGAGGTCTATGACATTGGGATAACAAAAATATAACTGAAGCAAAAGAATAATCGGTACAACGATAAAGATAAAGCTGGAAATCCACACTAAAATGATGTATCTTTTGAGCATAACATCCATAATTGAGGTATAGTGAAGTGGGTTGCAGACGGCTAGGTATCGATCATAAGACATCACTGTTAGGAAAAGACATTCCATGTAGCCAAACAGGCCATGGAAAAAGAGTTGGGTGAAACAACCACTGAAAGAGATGGTCTTGCTTCCTTCCAGAATGACACCAAGCATGTTTGGAACAATATTAGTAGTGATCATAATTTCAGAGAAAGAAAGGTTACTAAGAAAAACATACATTGGAGAACGAAGGTTTTTGTTTGTCCCAACCAATCCAATTATTAGCAGATTGCCAGATATAATGATAATATACACAAAGAAGAAGAGTATAAACAGGAGAGCTCTTATATTTTGATGTCCCTCAAAACCCAAAAGAAGAAATTCCTTGGCTAATGTTCTGTTGAGCATACTGATATGTTAATGTTTCTGGCAAAGGTTATTGTACATCAGTATAGCCTATGCTAATATTAAAGTATAACATTTGATATATTCTGTGTCTCAATTGTCTTGTTCAATTTTTTCTCTAAAAAAGAACTTACGAGGTAAACGTGGGACGCACTCACAATGAAATTTCCTATAGTAACATCATGGAATATGCAGTTGAGAGACTCATTTTCAGATATGTTCCACAAGAAACATTGTATCCTTTTATAGTCAACTGTCTCCAGCTTTTTAAAAAACAATCATTAATCCTTATGGAATTAATTTGTGTAATTAATTATGATGGAAATTCCATAAAGGCTCATTAGGGGGATATTTTGAGCTAAAAATGCTGGTCAATTAAAACTCTGTTAATATTATATACGGTGTATTGCCAATTCATTTTCTAGACAATTTGATAACTATTGTAGATGGAGTTATGTGTACTAGAACTTTTTTTTAAAGATTACCAACAGGAATGGCGAAATCCCAGTGGATAGGTGCCATTATCCTGTTTGGATAAAGTCCATGCCAAAGGTCAATTTCTTTGGTTGTGGCCAGGGGCAGACTGACCATTTGAGCACTCAGGCACTGCCCTGGTACCTTTAATTGGCTTTTTCATAGGCTTTTTTGGGTGTGGGCGAGGACACAGGGGCTCCATGAGCCCCTATTGCCCGGGGGCCCCATGAGTTGTCAGTCCGCCCCTGTTTATGGCATAACTGCACTCCAGCGAAAGATTATAACATACAAGCAGAGAATAAAAAGATCAATTTGTGCAGAGCTTAGTATATGTTACATACAGTAGTTACATAGTTAGTCTGGCTGAAAAAAGACAAATGTCCATCAAGTTCTACCATTAAAAAAAAAAAGTTATAATCCTATGCCCATAGTTGATCCAGAGGAAGGCAAAAAAAAACAGCAAAGCATGATCCAATTTGCTCCCGCATGGAAAAAAAAATTCATTTCTGACTCCCCGAGAGGCAATTGGATATTCCCTGGATCAACTTTACCTATAAATGTTAGTATTCAGTTATATTCAATTAAATGCGGGTGGACTCCTGCGCTGCCAAATATCCTCACAAGGGATGAAGTAGCTGCTAACACCAGAAGGAAATGAGATAAAAAATGATTTTGAACAAATGGTGTAGCTCTGTAAATACTAAAATACCATATTGTCAAATCATAATATAAATAATATTAAAGTGAAAGAATATTAATAAACCTTGTGTATCCTTATTACCTTAATTAAAGGTGAAATACATTCCAAAGTAAATATAAAATCAAAGTGACCAATTATAAAACCATGACATATATCAGCTGATATAAATAAATAAAAAAAGTTCCGAAAAGTGAAGAAATTAGTCCCAACAAGTGAAAAAAATTATTATAGCACAAAAATATATATAATATAACAATCAAGATTTTTCAATTCTTCAACTTTTATATTCCCACTTTTTGTTGCGTGCTCATATTTATGGGACCAATTTTATCCATCACCTTCTAGTGTGTGCGCTCACCTCAAAAATTCGACTCTCAAGGAGTCATAGAGCAATCAATATCCCTGGTTGGATGGAACTCTCCCTTTAAGTGGACACAGGAACAGCTCCCACCGAAATCATATAAACGATCAAACACACCTTTAAGGGGTGTTCAAATGGCTCAAAAAGAAGCCAAAGATAGAACTTCCATAGTGTAGTAATTAGATATTTATTTAAAAAAATCAAAAACAGCCAAATGGCTACTCACATAAAAACAAGGGCCACAGACCCAGCAGGCATGTACTGTGTAACCCAGGCCTGTTTTAAAGCAATCCACAGAGCTGGTCAGAACCAACTCTTGAGGGAGTCTATTCCACATTTTCACAGCTGTTACTGTGAAGAAAAGTTTCCATGTTATGGGATATCTATAGTAACATACAGGGGCGGACTGACAACTCATGGGGCCCCTGGGCAATAGGGGATCATGGGGCCCCTGTGTCCTTGCCCAAACTCAAAAAAGCCTATGAAAAAGGTACCAGGGGCACCTCATGGGGCCCCCTACTGACCCTGGACCCTCGGGCAGTGCCCGAGTTTCCAAATGGTCAGTCCGCCCCTGGTAACATATATAAATATATCAATACCAGTGCTATCAATCATTGGCAAAATCACAAACTCAAAACCATTAAATTATTAATAAAAGTATTCAGGGAATAAAATCTTGTGCCTTTTTCAGTATGTCACACCTTTGGTGCTTAATCCAACTGTGCAATGTGATAACACCTGGGAATAGGTGCAGGCACCCCCCCCCCTTCTGAGTCACCCCTTGTCTCCACCCCCTGTAACATAAATGTAATGTGTAGAATACTTTTATCAGTAGATGAGATGTGATGTGATCTGTAGAAATATGTAATTGTAGATCTAGTTTAGTTCTGTGTTATTAGAGCTACAATATTCCTTAATCAGTCATGGACTTACATGTTTAATTAGCATTTGAAAGGACAGAGCAAGTTTCTAGGCTAGAGGTGACACCTAGATGCAAATAGAACGTTCTCACCCATGTAGCCAGAGTTTGTCACCTTCTTGAACCTAAAAGAAGAATCCTAGTCATTTCAGCTACGAGAGTCAGCAGGAGACTGAGGAAGGCTCTGAAAAGGTTTTCCAGCTTTGAATTATACCAATAGATCAGAGAAATCTATTCAATCTCTTATAAAAGCTAAAATATTAGTTACAGAGAGATGGAAATACTGCCTTCTGATTGGACACACTTTAAGCTTCATCTATATGTAAAACTGTATTTGTAGCCTATGTAGAATCCTGGAGAAACACATAAAACAGTTATATGGTGCCTGATTGTGACAGCTGAACAATGATTGGTTCTGTCGCGATCGGACTGATGTGCTGGTGTCGGAAATCCTATCCCTGACCTGGTGATCCAAACAGTTTCTGGCCCATTCGAGATTGGGCACTTCAGAACACAGAACGTCCTGTGGGCTGGTACAGGAACACCCCCCAGGGTTGATTGGCCAAGGGCTAAAGTCCAGCTGTCAGGGATCTCCTCGATCCCCGCTGCGATGGTCCCGGCGCAGGCGCAGTGCGCCGCCCTGTGCAGGGACTCGGGCACTAGGTCTGGGCCTGCCGTGGCGTTCGAGTTCGCGCATTCACAGTAGAAGCCGCGGCCGCCCGCTGGGCACCAATGGCAGCGCAGGGCGGGATATTTAAATGGCCCTGAGCTGTCATTCAGTGCCTTCTGGTCTTACCTGTATCCTGTATCCTGCGAACCTGTGAATTGTAAGTTGCTGACCCGGATTGTGCTCTGACCTTGCTGTATTCTCCTGCCCTGACCCTTGCTTTGCCTGACCTCTCTCTTGGATGCCCCCTATTGGATCTGACCTGCTGTTGCTGACCTGGCATGTGACACCATACCGTCCTCCCTGTTACCGACCCGGCTTGTCTGACCTCGCACCTTCTCAGCCATCCATCCATCCGTCCATCCCTCCCAGTGGGGTCTTCTGACCTCCTCATATCAGGCTCTTCCCCGCGGGAGCCCTCGGCGAATACCACTACCACTAACGGGTTTGCCCAGTAGTCACGACCTGGTCTCGGGGAGCTCCAAGTCCATCCCCACCATCAGGGGCCCTGGTGAACAAGCACCCTGGGACTTAGACTCCGTGCTCTGGGAACGCCTATTTAGTGGAGTGCTAGTGGTACCGCCGGGTGGTCCCTTACACCACAACAATAAAGCAAGAGCAAGCCACCAAAAATGACACTAATTGTTAATGTCATAAGCACCTCTCCGACTCACTTGTACAAGTGTGGATACATAAACCCAGGGGACAGCATACTAAACAATATGATAGTGTGACAAGAACACGCCTATCTGAAAAAGAAGGTTTCTAAAAGATCCACGCGGAGTAGTATGAATTCAAATGAATTTAACAATACTTTATTTGATCACATAGATCATGGGGAGGTTAAACATAAGCACGGTGTACATATGAAAAAAATAAAATCATGTTTAAAAACACTTAGCGTCTTCAATTAAGGGTCATCTTAGCCAACAGAGCACCATATAAGGCAGAGTAGTGTAATGATGGAATAGTTATCCTGGATTTCCGTAGGTTTCCTGCTTAATATTTGTGTGAACCGTATATTCAGTGGTGTGTTCCCAGTATATATCAGGGACCTCCTGGAATGTACAAGCTGGAACACAAAAATACATGGTATGTATCTAGCAATATGGAAACCAAATCACATCCAAAATTTACCAGGCCTCCCTCCACAATAGTCAATGGATGCTGCTGTTACCTTCTCAGAGGTGAGACTATCATACCCGCCTCTCAAATGTAGGGACTTCCTGGATAGCCACCCCAAATGGAACAGGGTACACAGTACCAAATGATTCTGAGGATATACATAGAAAAAGATAATAAATGTGTAGAACATGGGCATCAGGTAATCCCGAAAACAAAACACACATAGAGATGTGGATATATTACCATCAATAAGGATCAAGAAGACTCCTGTCGACTTGAACTAAGATCAGGTCCTTGATGCTTTTCCAAAAATGCATATGGGGGTGAGGGACCAGGTATACACGATGCGTGGATTTCAAACACATATAGTGTGTATATAGCATATAGCAGGCCGTAGATACCTGAATTTAATATACCCAGTAAAGGGTTTCCAAAAATTGCTCAATTTGAGAAGGTTATTTGCGGTTTTATAAGGATGTGGCTATGTCACAGCAAAAAATACCTGAATAGGATAGCATATGTATATATATATATATATATATATATGTAGATTCTCCTCCTTAGAGGATTTCCAAAAAATTCCCCGAGTATACAGGGTAAATTAGGCCCATACAACATGCCCTATGAACACCATGTAGGCTCTGTAAATCTCAACAGCCGTAAGCTTTTAAATAACTTGCCACCGGTGGAAGATATATTTCCCTGAGGGATTGCCGTTTGCGAACCGCTGTGATAATAGCCCACTGGTAGTTCTCAA